GCTTCACTTATATATCAGTTCTTTCAGTTTTGTCCATGTATATACACACAGAATCTTGCAGAGTACTTATGTCAGACTGGTAAAGCATTCAAGCAGTTTAAAACAAGATTGCAACAAGAGTCTGAAAAACAAAAGTGAAATATTTCATTCATACCTTGTTACACTTGGGAAATAAAAATTATAAACCTTAATTAAGCTAGATATTAATATACACTGCATGATTCAGAACTATAGATAAATCCATATTTACTTGGAAAGAAGCCATGAACTCAAATAGCTTTCTAATAAAAATGTTTTAGATTGTACCTTTAGACAGGTTTACCATACTAAAAAAGGAAGCATAAAATTATAATCCAATGTAACAATTCTTTGGTGCTCTACAACCCATAATGTAAATGAAATGCATTTTACTTGACCATTTTGCTAGCATCACAATACTGAGCTACAGAGAGTATTCGGATACCTTCACTTTTGTCAATTTTGTTATGCTTCAACCTGAATGTACAGTTGTTGAAATTCATTTTTTTCTCATTAATCTACACAATATTCCATAATGACAAAGTGAAAACAGAATTTGAGAAATACCTGTAAATTTATTAAAAAGAAAAAAACCTGAAATATTATGTTAGTTTAACTATTCAGACCCTTTGCAACAAACTTGAAATTTAGTTCAGATGCCTCCCAGTTCTCTGGATCATTGCTGACATGTTTGTATACTTTCATTGGAGTCTACCTGTGGTAAATTAAATTGGTTGGACATGATTTGGAAAGGAACACACCTCTCTATAGAAGGCCTCACAGCTGACAATATATGCTGTGGCAAAAAAAAGCCATAAGGTCAAAGGAACTGCCTGCAGAGCTCAGAGACAGATTATTACAAGGCACAGATCTAGGGATAGCTACAATAAAATTGGTGCTGCACTGAAGGTTCTGAAGAGCATGATGGCCTCCATAATTCTCAAATAAAAGACATATGGCACAACCAGGACTCTTCCAAGAGCTGGTTCCCAGTCAAACTAAGCAAGCAGGGGAGAAGAGCCTTAGTAACAGAGGTGAGGAAGAATCCGATGGTCACTCTGACTAAGTTCCAGAGATCCTGTGTGGAGATGGGAGAGAGTTCCAGAAGGACAACCATTACTGCAGCCCTCCACTGATCTGGGCTTTATGGCACAGTGGCTAGACAGACCCTCTCAGTGCAAAACACATGTAAACCCACTTGGAGTTTGCAAAAAAGCACCTGAAGGACTTTCAGACTGTGAGGAACAAGACTCTCTGGTCTGATGAAACTAAGATTGAATTGTTTGGCCTTAATTTTATACGCTATGTCTGGAGGAAATCAGGCACCTGCCCAATATCACCCCAAAAGTAAAGCATGGTAGTGGCAGCATCATGCTGTGAGGGCATTTTTTAGCAGCAGGAATAGGGAGACTGGTTTAGGTTGAGGGAAAGCTGAATGGAGCAAATAACTCAATGAAAACCTGTACAATAGCACTCAGCATCTCAGACTAAGCTCTCCATCATGATAATGATCCTAACCACACAGCCAAGACAATACAGGAATGGCTTAGGGATATCTCTGTGAATATCCTAGCCAGAGCCCTCACTTGAACCTTATTGAACATCTCTGGAGGGACCTGAAAATGGCTGTCCACCAACAGTCGCCATCCAGCTGACTGATCTTGAGAGGATTTGCAGGGAAGAATGGCAGAAAATTCCCCAATCCAGGTGTGCAAGCTTGATGCTTCATAGTCCAAAAGACTCGAGGCTTTAATGATGTACTGAATGAAGGGACTGAATACTTATGTCAATGGATATTTACATTTTTTTAAATAAGACATGTCTAAATTTCTGTTTTCACATTATGGAATACTGTAGATTGAGGAAAAATGAATTTCAACAACTGTAGAATCAGGCTGCAGGATAACAAAATTGACAAGTGAAGATAATCTGAATACTTTCTGAACTGTATGTAAACTCTCTCAGACAACAGTCTGGGTTGCTGCTACATAATACCATCAGTTCTTACCAGCATTGCTTTGAAGACCCAGTGCACAGAGCAAGAAAATAACATTCTTATATTTTCCCAAATTGGGAATATCTTATTCTAGATATATATTCAGAAAAGTTAATTCATCTAGTCAAAAGTATTTTTTTAACAGAAAAAGTGCCAAAACATTCATTTGCTGGCATTTTAGTAGCAAGGGATTTTTAAAAAGCTAATACTCAAGAATGGAAGAAATTTGTTCCATGCCAACTTTTGTTATTGATTTGATTTGATGAATTATTAAAGCAAATTATATATCACATCCTAAACTAAATGACTACTTAAAATGATTGGTTTTCCAGTAAGATAACGCATGAAGCATTTTGAATCTGTGGAGAACTTGGGATATATTATTATCAAATTTATATGCCACCTATCTTGCCATGGGGTATATTAAAGTATTCCAATTATGTTTTAATAATCTGAATAGACTCTTGTTTTACTCAGATTCCAGAAACTACTACTACTCTCCTTTATTAGAAATGTCTAGTTGAATTGACTGTATGCATTTTGGTGTCCTAAAGCATTTCTGATATAATTAAAATTATACAAAAGTGAAATTACCTATCTTGTCTCATTTATCTGCATGCTCAAATTATTATATCTTTAATCAACTCTCTGTGACAATTCCATTAATAGTGAAAATATTAAATGGCATAATGGAAAGTAAATTTGGGGAAAAAACTTTGTTTTTTCAATATCTTTATCAACATTACATATGAAATGATTTATTGGAATAGATATTAACTAGAGATCTATTCAAATAGATCTCAGCTACCACAAATTGGTCCATTTTAAATATTTTGCACAATACTTTACAACTGATTATATTTAATAGTAATGAATGCTTTCCCTTGGATGGGGAAAATTTAAATCACACTATTTCTTTGTTAGATAATTCTTTTTAAAAAAGATTGTCTGCATTTAATTATGGGGAAAGCTGCCTTGGAGATTTTTTTAAAAAAATCTTGTCTATATCAAATGAAGATCTTCATTTCAGCTATCACTCATGCATTTAAGACAAAGATGTGGGATTAAAAATCAAGAATTCAAGATAGTTTTTCAGTGCACTTTTGCTTTGTACAAGCCTTGAAATTCTGAAACCTCCAGAAGAGATTTCAGTATCAAAATGTTATTGCTTTGGTTCTGTTGCAAACACAGATAATTATGCCACATCTCATATATTTTAACACAGAAGATCCTAACAAAATTTGACATTTTACAAAGAAACAAAAATTCTGTTTCTAATTTAAGTGCAGAATGTGAAACTACTAAGTGCTTAATTTATACTGGATTTGGACACAAGCCTTACTATAATCCAGATTTTCTACAGTAAAATTAGAAAGGTACAAAAATAACAATAGCAATAATATTTAGACATATACCGCTTCACAGTGCTTTACAGCCCTTTCTAAGCGGTTTACAGAATCAGCATTTTGCCCCCAACAATCTGGGTCCTCATTTTACCGACCCCAGAAGGATGGAAGGCTGAGTCAACCTTGAGCCAGTGAGACTCCAACTGCCAAACTACAGGCAGATGACAATCAGCAGAAGTAGCCTGCAGTACTCCATACTAACAACTACACCACTATGGCTCTTGGGTTTGTTTGACAAAAGAAATTACTGGCTAGCAACATGCATAGTACATGCATTGTCATAACAAGCAAAACTAAATTAAACTGTAATAAATTACTGCTTTAAGCCTATGTTAACATAATAAGACAAAGTAACAAAAGGTTCAGTGAAATAAAGTATTCACAGCTCTGAACAGGAAGATTGGTGATGTCAAGTAGAATGGGTTAAATATGATTATTGTCAAACAACATGACAGCAAGTTGTCTGACCTGATGTACATAATAGTCCCTCCTTCGGGTTTCGCTGAATATTCACAGATATTGTTTTT